CTTTAGTAAAAATTATTAAAACTTATCATAATTTTTTTTTTTAAAAAATAATTATCCTTGAAAAATAATGAAATAAACTGATAGGACAAATATAAGTGTGGTTGGAACCAGGCCTTTAGGCCAATTCGACCCCAAGCCTTAGTACTTGGGTGAGGCAGTGCTCAGAACTTCGAACTCTATTACCGTCGTGAACTTCACTAAAAAGCAGTCTCATGGGCGCGTGCCTCATTTGAAGGGTGGAATATTCACTCGACCTGAAAATCCCTGTTGCTAACAACTAACTCATACTAACTTCCTAATCATTGCCCTTGTCAAAATATATATATATATATATATATGTGTGTGTGTGGTTGATGTTAGAGTGAGGCGCACTGCAATTACATTTGTCATGCTATCTTGAGCCTAAGGAAAAGTAACATAAACCCCACATTTCACTCTGTTACCATCCATTGAACTCTTTGCCTATCACAAAAGAAGTTTGTGTCATCATATTCTTGTTCTCTTGGTCTTCTTCTCTTCATCCTCTAACTTCCAGGACACATCCTTCTCAACATCATATAACTTTTTGAGAATGTGCTTTGCAATAATTGGAACAGAACTGTTCCTGCTGTAGTTTACTGCATTTTGCAGCGCCAATATCATGACAGGAATTGAAGCCTCCTTGTGCAACTTAGCAAGTTCAAGAAATCTATTGAAGGAAGCTATATCAAGTGCTTTTTTAGCCACTTTTACGTCAGAACCTCTTAAGCCATTTGCGGTGCGTCTAAACAGAAGCTGAGCATTGGGTTGGTTAATTTCTTTAATGGTACTAAACTTCATCAGGTATTTGAGTTCATCCAACAGACACGACTCAGAAGTGGAGGGTGTTGGATCACCACTCAAAATACCCTCGAAAATCAAATTGACCAGAGAACTATCTTTCTCCATGAACCTTACCAAACACATTTGTAACCAGTGAGAAAAGTAAGGGTAAGACTTGATCTTGTGCATGGGTATCAAAACCAGCCGGAGAAAGTGCGTGTGCTCTTCTTGCAGTGGCACCGACCACTCAGGAATCCGATCACTAACAAACCGCAACAGACTGCTTACCGCACTTGGTATATAGCTCTGCCTATCGGGGCAGACAAAACGAGACAGATTGCTACGCACGGTTCTCCAAATTGCTAGCTGTTTCTGAGGGAATTTTGCCCAGAAAGATGGCAAAAGATCTGCCACAAAACAGGCTTCTCTGGAATCATCTGCTTCCACTGCAGTATTAAAAAACCAAGTAATAAACGAATCGTCAATATGGTCATCACGCAGCAACCCAGCATCAACAATTTTTTGGAAGAATTCATAAATGCATTGCAGATGGACCCAGGACCCTTCAACCAGTGGCCTTTTGTCCCCAGGACCATAGAACTCCATGCTACTTTCATTCTCTTCTTCAGAAACAACAGCTGTGGGAGAGGGAAACGGCCTGAAAATGTTTGCACGGAGAATTTTCCTGATTATGCAGACTGCATCTTCCGAGAGAGATTCAAGAGTAGGAACATAATCGCTCAACTCTTTAAGTATATCATCCCTTTCAAATATTGTTTCGATCATATCAAGTATTTCTGCAGAGGCAACTCCGCTCTGTCTGACATCGAAAAGGGACTGCTTGACCTTGAAGTGCTCTATGAAGCGCTTGAAATCCACAATTTCCAAACAGCGGCGCAGCTTATTCAAGAAGGCATCACCCCTGTTTTCCACGGGAACGTCTCTGATTCTTGGCAAGTTTTCTTCTGTCATGTCTCCGATTGTGGTAGTAACAGAAAAGAAACAGAAAGAAATGCCGAAAGTCACTCTCTCTTCTTTTTGCACAGTGGAGTCTGCCTCTGCCAAGATTAAACCACAACAGAAATTGAGTCTTACTTTGCAGGCATTTCGACCAATACAATTCTTCTTCAAACGCAAAATCAAGAAACAAACGCAGAATCACTACAATCTTTTCTTGTCTTTATTAAATTGGACACAACCCTGTTTTCCCCTACGAAATACAGAGTCAAGGAAGGGAATTTTCATCAAACTGCAACACATTTATCAAATTGAACACAAACCCACTTTTTCTTTTCTTTATCTCTGCGCAGTTTGCTCGGTAAACAAACACAAATCCAAGAAGAAGGATGAAGAAGGGTACGTACTTACATTAATCGAATTGAAACTAAACCCTCTTTTTCTTTCTCCAAGTTTTTCTTTAGCAACAAGAAGCAATCTTTCATGAAACATCAAAACATCTTGCTCATAATTTGCACAACGGATTCTGTCTCTGCTAGATTAAACCCCAACAGAAACTGAGTCATAGTTTGCAGGCACTTCGGCCAACACAAACCCTCAAACGAAAAGTCAAGAAACAAATTCAGAATCACTGCAATCTTTTCTTATCTTTATCAAACTGGACATAAACCTGTTTTTCACTACGAAATACAGAACCAAGAAAAGAGAAATTTCATCAAACTGCAATACATTTATCAAATTGAACACAATCACATTTTTTTCTTTTCTTATCTCTGAGCAGTTTTCTCGGGAACACAATTCCAAGAAGAAGGATGCGGAACAGTTAGAAAGGTACTTACAATCTTACATTAATCAAATTGAAACTAAAACCTTCGTCTCCTTTCTCCAAGTTTTTCTTCAGCAACAAGAAACAATCTTTCATGAAACATCGAGACATCTCTCTCACATAAGAATATACAGAGGAAAATTTTTAGAAAGAATCAAGAAACAGCAAAAAATCAAAGTACCTGAAAGTTGAAGCTTTCTTCAACCTTGGTATATGGCACCATGAACACGTACAATGCAGCTATTGATCCCAACAGCAAGTCGTAGTGTCGTACACGATCGCCAGGCGGGCGATTTGTAAAACGAAAACGGAACGAAGAAATGATCTATGAAGT